ATATCTTAGTTCCTCTTAAATTGAGAGCAGCTTTGAATAGAGTTAATCTATCGTTTTGTTCTGGGACTTCAATCAGGATCGGTGCACCAGGTTTTCTGGATAATCGGTGGCATCGCGTGATGTTTATCTTCTCCGTTGTTTGCATATTTTCTTCGATAACCTTCCGTATCCGTTCTCGGCAGTCCTCGTTATTATCTTGTTCTATTCCGTAAAAAATGAGGTTCCTTTCTCTGCTCTTTGCATCCAAGTGTTCAAGCTGGTCTTCTAAGTCTTTTATTTTTTTGGAGTTTTGAGAGAGTGCTGCCTTTGTAACGGCAGAAGATTCCTCTAGTTGTTGCAGTCTTTGGTTTATATTTTCTACTCTATCGTCGATTGCCGAAAGACGGGATTCCAGCCTCTCACCCCAGCTATCCAGCCTTTTGGTGAGTGCATTTATCAGATCTTTGATATCTTTATCTCTATCTAAGCTTGTTTCCAACGTCGTTTGTTTGGACATCTTAGGGCCTGGGTTTTGTTCAATGCCAGCTAATATTAAGAGCATTAAAACTACACACATAAGGTGAAAGTTTCGGAAATATTTTGAGAGTGAAAGATTCACACGTGATAAGCAAATCTTTTTGCCGCCATATGTATCCGGTTTGAAAGTATGTAAATTTGGCTCAGAATTCTTGTCTAATAGACATAAAATTATGATGGTAAGATATATTGGATATGTAGGTTTCATTTCAGATAGATTGAATTTGCTCTTTAGTAAAAATAGAGAAAATATTTTAGTCAGACAGTTCACTTACCGAGAGCGACGTTGCTTGCTGCCTATACGTGCCGCCTCCTAGCGGAGAATCGCATTCCCGCTACTTCAAACCCACAGAGAGAGAATATGGTGTTTACGGGCTAATGACCAAAGTGAGAGAGTGGCAACACCTGTACCGTGTATGGACACAGTTGGAAGTCAGTTTTAAAGGACAACGCTGGTACGTGCAATATGTACTTAACGATTCCCTTTGCCGAGTTTGGTCCATGGCTTTGGACACAATTGGTTCAATGTTTATTACCCAACGCGATGTCTCCTAGGAGACTGTGTTTTGTTCGTGGCCTCACAACGAAGTTGTTTATTATTATTATCCCTAATATGCGTGGTACAGGCCATGGTAGGTACAGGTACATGGTAGATAGAAATTGACGACTGCTTTTACTGTAAGTACACCACAAGTCTACACATATGAAAAGCGTTCGACTTTTACACATAAAATTGTGTCAGAGCACCGTTTAGTTACTTGCACTCGCTGGTGGGGTTGGACTTTTACAAGAATCGGGGACCATTGGAGCATTTTTTTTTTAATTAGAAAAAAGTATCTAATGCGGGATTCGACCCCGGGTCGTAGCGGTCGAAAACCAACGGTTTAGACCACTCTTCATTAAGGATACTCTTCCCATACAGGATTCTCCCATATAGATAAACACAAGTAAACATAACAGTTATTTACAGAAAGAGGAGATTAACATCGACCTTTCTTCTAGTTGGATCCATCATCTGTCTTGCGCCTATTGTCTGGGCTGTTTTCCAGAATTTGTGAAAAGCTAATGTACAGTGGACCCTCGGTTTGCGAGCATAATCCGTTCCAGAGCCATGCTCGTACTCCAAAACGCTCGTAGTGCGAAACTAATTTCTTATTTTTAATAATTGAAACTCGGGCAATTCTTCTTGCTACGAACAATTGCACAGTTTCCCACATTTTACATATTTCCCGAATCTGATCTGAAGGGAGGGATCCCAGTGAATTTTCATCCATCACGATTACGGGCAACCATCACGAGTTGCTCGTAATGCGAAATTTCACTCGTAATCCGAGGTAAAATTTTTCAAAAAATTTTGCTCGTACTGCGAAAAGCTCGTACTCCAAGGTGCTCGTAAACCGAGGGTCCACTGTATTGGGTTTGCTTTCGAAATTCTAAATAAATAGCAGTATGACATTATGGTATTATCCGTTTGGTAAAATGTTGTTTGAAGTGCCGTTGTGTTGTGCAACAGAGATTCCAGTATTTAAGAGAGGCTTCCAACGGCGGTCCACACTACGTTGATTCCCTACAACAACAAAAGTAAATCAAGAATTCTCATCCTTCTTGGTAAGTAAAATGCTAATATAGATTTTAATTAAAAAATACTCTTAATTTAATCAATCAATCAATACCTTTATGAAGATATTTAGATATCGTTTTGAAAATAGAGCAATCCATAAATATATCTTTAATTAAAAAGGCATATATTGGATCAAAATATCATTTATTTTACCAAAAATATTTTTAAAACTTAATTCTGTTGACGTTATGTGGCGCTAAGTTTGTTGTTGATGCACATTAATATGTTATAACTAGCCGAATGACCCGGGCAACGCCCGTGTTTTACCCGATTGAATGTTTTTATTCAAATACTATTTGTTACAATTATAAATTGGCGCCTTATATAAATGCATATATTAGTTAATAACTATAGCCTATGTGCTTTATCTGTCTATGTACTGTTGGCTTCCGTAGGCGTTTCTTACTGGGAAAAAGAAAGAGAGGATTCCATTTAGTTATTAACTAATATATGCATTTATTTAAGGAGCGACCCGCTCCAACACAATAGTTACAAAAACCAAAAAGCGAGGGGGGGGGGGGGCAAAGGTGGCGTGATCGTAGCCAACCAATAGGAGAGCGCCATTCCAAAAAAAAAAAAAAAAGCAAACGGTGACAGAGATGAAGAATTATTAAGAACGCATGACGCTCGTAACTGTATATAGAATACCTTGATAAAGGTTGGCGTTCAGCCAACTGAAATATTGGTAAAATAAATGATATTTTGATTCAATATATGTCTTTTTAATTAAATATTTTGATATTTAAAAATTCTCCTGAGAGAAATGGAAAAGGAGTGGAAAAAAAAAAGACGGAGAAAGAAATTCAAATTTATAAAGTTGCATAGGTAATATGTATATATAGAGCGCAAATTGTTTTCAAATAAATATATTTACATATAGGTTATGAGTATTTTTTCTCCTGCTCTTCCCCCCCCCCATTTTTTTTCTATACAGATTCCCGTAAATTAAGTTTAAAAAACATATGTAAAAAAAATACGCACATCAAATATATAATGCAACAATATTTACAAATAAAATACCACTATACCACAATATACCATACACATATATACCACAATAGTTCACGAATTTATTAAATTTAATTTGAAGTCTCGAGATATCATTCAACCAGCACGTATCATCCACAACGCACGTATATTTACAAAATTTTGTTTTTCAAACCAAAATAATGTAATATATTTTTCTCTCGGTATATAATAAGTATTTAAAATATGTATATAATAAATGTCTATATAAAAATTGTATTTATTATTAAGTTGTTAACGTGATAATTCTGTTAAAGGACTGACAAGTCTGAAAGTTTGAAAATAAAAAGTTGCACAATAAAACTTAACCCTGGATGCTTCATTTATTTTATAATAAAAACATATATTTAAAAAAATACCACATCAAATATATAATGCAGCAATATTTACAAATAAAATTATATATATAGTGTCCATATAGAGGAGGGGGGTGATCCAAAATTCTAAGCATCCAATATTATAAAAAAACAAACAATAAAAAAGAAGATCCAGCAAAGAGAATGTCACGTCTAGAGGAAGTTCCAACCGCTACCGTACAAGGAAGCAGACGATGATGGATAAACCAAATATGGCCGCCATGTTGCCCTTCTTCTTTTCCGCCATACCTTTAGCTTCATTATCCCCTATTATTAGAGGAATTTCTATTCTTTTCATGACTCTTCGAAATCTTCCTTTGTGGGAAGCATTTTCTAAAAATTTTTTAGATATCTTCCTTGAAATAATTTCTAATACAAGCACTTATATAGAACTATTAAGTCTTTTAAATACAATTTTTATTTATTATTAATTTCTATACAGTTTTTACTATTGTAGAAAAATATTTATTATATTTTATGTATACATATTATTATTTTTTAATATTTATGTTATTTATATTTTGCTAATCTGGAAATTTCCCTCATTGCTTATCTTGTATCTTATAAATGTATTTCACCCCACGTATTGCCATCAAAAATATCAGCAAACAAATCTAAGGCAATAGCTTATTATACATTTTTTAGATCATCATTATGTAAGGACCAGTCAACAAGTGAATGACTTTGAGATGAAGAGTAAAGCCAGTTCAATTTCTATGCAAATAACACAAGATGATTATTACTTTACCCAATGGGGAGAATCTGTACGGGGCAAGTCTCTAATAAAGGCTTCTGTGTGTGTGTGTCTTATAAATGTTGATTTGTGGTTATGCCTTAAATAAATTGCTGTGTCATTCTGAAGTTTGTCTTTTCTAATTTTCTATGCTACAATATTTAAGAAACACAATTTTGAATCTGCAATACACCTATCCCCCGATTTACACGGTACTTGTTTTACACGTTTTCGCTTTTACACGGTTTTCCAAATAAGTTTTTTTTTTCTATCGCACTATACTAAATGCTACTGTGATTGAACACATGCGCTGTGTACACATCTCACGAGGAATCCCGAGTTTATGTGCTGACTACATATTTTAACCTGTCAATGCATTTTATTTTTATTTCTGTGTACACCTATTTACACGCTTTTCTCAGGAACGTATCTACCATGTAAATCGGGGGATAGGTGTATTTAAAATTATTTAGCAAGTTTCTGACAATTTGCGCCCTAGAAGGTAAAGGTTGTGTCATCAGCTAGGAAATTATGGCTGTAGATTTTCTGGTCGTGTGTGGAATAATTTTTATGTGGGAGGATTATCTCTTTAAAAAAGGAAAAACAATCACTGATGTCTATTATGAAGAACTACTGTAAAAATGGAGTGAATACATACTGCTCAAAATACAACATTTGACCAGGAATAGATCCTCTTTCTCCAAGAGATACAATTCTCCTGCACACAAGTCGATGGTTTCAATAACAAGGCGGAATAGCTCAGTTGCGAAAACTTTAAACTGAAAATCTAAAAGTTCCGGGTTCGAATCCGCGTTTCGGCATATTTTTGTACTCGCTTGTTCGGTGGTAAAATTGGAACGATACAGAGAAGATTAGCATGGTTCCTGTGATACTTGTTTGGCAGTACATATACCAAAATTGGAATGACACAAAAAAAAAACTACACCAATAACTTTGGGGAAACCAAATTGACCTAAAGATTCATTGCTGAATCTGAAAGGCATTCGATATATCACTAACATGAATATATTCTACAACATCCAGCCTATTTACCAGATATAGCTCCAAACAACAGCTACTTCTTTCCAAACCTGAAAAAAAATTGTCTAAGAGTCAGCGTTTTTCAGGAAATAATGACGTTATTACAGCTGTGAATGGATATTTTGATACCTTCGATAAAAACTTCTATAAACCGGAATAATGACTCAAGAATGTCGTAGTTTAGTGTGCAGACCTCAAAGGTCATTATTTAGAGAGATACATGTTTTTGTTGTTGTTGTTACTTTTCGTTTATCTTATCAATCCACCTTCGAATACAAGCTACTTTTTCTTTAATTTTATCGCATTCTATTGCTGAAAATTATAATTAATTTTTAGCGCTATTTTTTTTTACATTTAATTAATATCTATTTCTACACAGATACCTAATTTACACTATAATTTCCAGCGAGTTACTTTAGTCTAACTCTAGGTATCGCTGATTCAAAGATGGTCCACCAGTCATTGCTGTCAATTTACATCATCTTCTACAAGGCTCTGAGATGATGATATGGTGTGGTATTGGTTCATCCCTACATACTGTAATATATAATATGTATAAATGGTTTTGAACAAGGACTTGGTTGTTGTTATGTGATGTAATCAATATATAGCGTGAGATATTCATGTTTTTAGTTCTTTTGTTAATTCTGTAATAGTAAAATATTATGCAAATATATAACTTTTCAGTAGCATACAATCTCTTCTAATAGAAACTACACTACCTAAGATTATTAAATATTAGGTAGAAGACATAGCACATCCTTTATTGTTTATTAACGTTTTTGTGGATTCAAATTGATATTTATGTCAAAAACAAATATGTTGTAATGTGTGGAGCTGATAACGTTGCAATCGGCTCCTTATCAACTTGCAGTCATGAGCCAGAGTGGGAGCGCACTAGCCTGAAGTCAAAATAAATCTACATGCTTAGAACATGGTTGCCTCGGTTTAGAGGGGGCAGCACCCAGGAAGTCTGGGAGTCCTGGGATCGCTCTGGTCAATCGGGCAGCATGGAGACCTGGCTGCTGTCTTGTCTTCTCCCTATGCTCCTGTTGGCTCAAAAAGAACCCAGCTTATATGCAACAACAACAACAAAAACATTTATTAAGACACTATTGTCTTACAAGGGGATTCCCCTAAAAGGTTATATATGTACATGAGTGAGGAGGAAAAGCAATTTAGAGGGGAGGGGAAGCAATCAGCCGTTGTCTGTGGAGTTGAGCACTTCTTCCCTCATTTTATCAATCGCCTTGAAAAATTTTAAATATTTATAAACAAATGTTTTATCCAGCAAGAGATTAGTAAAAATTTTATATACATGTTGTTCATTATAGTGAGTTAGCCCCGAAATTTCGTGAATTTCCAGTCTCTTTTCCTGGCCAGCTTATAGGCTGATAGTGACGTCAGAGAGGGCGGTCCTTTTTTGGACGTCTGTGTCCAATCAAGGACTGGCCTGATTGACGTTTATATTATCTCTTTGCTTCTTGGACAATACCAATGATCAGTTTAGTCGACCTTACTGAATGCCGCGCCTTTCTTTTCTGGTGGTAGATTTTTATTGAACGCCATTTTAAAGTTACATCAGGCTTGGTATTTCTTGGTGCTTCTATGTAACGCAAAAAGACATCTATTTTTACAAAACTGACAATTTGAGGGGGGGAAAAAAGAGTCACATTTTGCTGGTCAAAAAAAAAAAAAACATAATCTCAAGATCTTTTAGTTCTCTTGGAGTAGCGAGTACGAGGCTCGGCCTGAGACATATGTACGAGAATATATTTATTTACGGGGCTGCTAACCAGAATGGATGATTTTTGAGCCCCGATGGACGCATAAAGCGGAATATATATAAAGCACTATATACATTGTACTGTTGTAAGGGTCTGGGGATGGGTGGCCAGGGGATCATCACCAGGTGAGGCCAGGATAGCCGGGATGTAGAGATCCATATGTACAACATATAGAATACGACATGGATATACATATTTTGAGAACAAAATTATGATTTTAATGAAATTTATGATTTACAATTAAAAAAAAACAAGAAAGTTGAATTAAAAAATTTTGCTTCTAAATCCGAGAGAGATTTGGCCATAAAATACGAAGTGATTTAAAAATTGAGAATTGACTAAATATGCAATAAAAAAATTATTTATTTTCCCCGCGTGCACCATTCGGTCCAAGAAAACTTTACACGCCAAACTATATGAGTAAATTTGGCAAACATTGATTATTCACTAAATTCGTATAACTGGGCCAAGGAATTCGTCTCAACAGCAGCTTGAGGCAACTTCCTAAAAGACAATCTATGCCGTACCACAAGCAACTGCAGTCATGGGCCTCGTGGTTTCAGGAGTTAATACACACAGGACGAGGCATGAATGATAGACGAGGTGATAACGTCATTATTTACTGAAAAACGTCGTGTCCAAGACAATTTTTTTTTCAGGTTGGGGAAGAAGTAGTTGTTGTTTGGAGCTATATCAGGTGAATAGGCTGGGTGTTGTAGCAGTTATTCATATAAATGATATATCGAATGCTCCTCAGATTCTACAATGGATGGCACCTAAGAGAGGCCAGAGACAGGGAAAGGTCCAGTAGGGGTTGTCTCTGAGATCTCCCAGCGGCTGGTCGTAAAACTCACTAATGACTTGTGGAAGATCCCCGGGAAGGGTCCACATGATAATGTATGTGTAATATACCTTATAATATTATTATAATATTGTTACATCATGATTAATGGCGTATTTCTTATATAATTTTTAATATATTTGAAATTTAAATTATATATTTATTTATTTTTATATTCTATGATATTTATTTAAAACAGATTATTTTTTAGATTATCATCATTTGTATTTAGGTACACGTGTGACTTCACTGCTCTCTTTGATGGGAGGAAATAAATAAAGGATTCTGGAGGCTACTTAAAGTAGACTTATCTCATTATTCCCTTATATAAATTTGTAGGATGGTTGAAACACGCTCTGGTAAGATGCAAGACCCAGCACAGGAGAGAATCATGCCTGAAGAGTCTGCCAAGCCGCAACCTGGTGCAACAATTGGTAGAGATGCTAGTTCCGACCCAGTTGTCCTGAATCCCAACATCGAAATCCCCAAGTTTGATGGAACGGAAGACCCTCGCCCATGGATTGAATCTCTTGAAGAAATTGGCTTCCTGTACCATTGGGCAGACTACATTATCTCTCGTTATGCTGCCATGAATATGATTGGTAGCGCCAAAACCTGGCTGAACCTACACAAGATAAGTTTCACCAGCTGGGAAAATTTCAAGAGCCGCCTAATTCAGGATTTTGCCTCAGACGCCAACAAGGAAGAAATGAAGATGAGGCTAAACAGAATGCAGCAGTGGAATGAACCTGCAATCAGGTTCGCAGAGGATATCCTTGTACTGTGCAACAAGGTCGACCCCCAAATGGAAGAAGAGACTAAAATAAACTGGGTTATTGGAGGGTTAAAGAAAGAATACTCTTTTGCCCTTCACCTAAACCCTCCTAAAAATACCAATGAACTTCTAGAAATTTGTAAAAAGCTGGATTTGTTCGAAAAGAATTACCAAGAACGTGCAGAAAAATCAAAAGCTCTTTATAATGGACCACGCTCTCCTCGTCCCCATCATCAAGAGCAATGGAAGAATGCTACGTCGTTCAGAAGACCATATCAGAACACCTCCAAGCCCCAGGCCCCCGCTCCGAGGTACTACCAGAACACCTCCAAGCCCCAGGCCCCCACTCCGAGGTATTACCAGAACAAGCCTCTGCCCCAGGTATCTGCCCCTAGACGATCTTACACTCCCAATCCTGAGCCAAAACCGGTCTACCCAAGTAAAACATACAATAAGAATCCAAATTCAAATAGGAATAGGACAGAAGACGGGAGACCAATATGTTTCAAGTGTAACAAGCCAGGACACGTAGCGCGGTATTGCAGAGTCAGGTTTGTAAGAATTGTGGAAGAGGACCCCATAGTTACACAAGACAAGGTCGAAGAAGAAATCCGAATGGATAATGGAACTCAGAAGTCGAGACCTCTGCTCTACGCGGACGTAAGTAATAGCCCGTACTCGAGTATCCCTACAAGGAATAGATATGCCGCATTAGAAGATTTAAACTAAACATCGCGCCTGAGTCCGTCAATCAAAGCAAGTCGACCATAAATGGAATTAAAAAGTTGGACCCCAAATATAAAATGAACATTAACGTGGATAGAATCGGTATCTGCGAAGCTTTGATTGATACAGGCGCCGATCTTTCAGTGGTCGACCTTAATACAGCTCTCAACACAGGTCTTGAAATAATAAATCCTGATAAAATGTGCTCCGGACCCGATGGCAAAGAATTAGATATCGTAGGAAATATTATTTTAAATATAAAATTTGATGACAAAACAATCACACATCAATTTGTGATAATGAGAACACATTTGCGAATATTTATACTTGGACGTGATTTTCTTAAGAAAATGAACGCAAAAATTGATTGTCAGCGTGAAATAATCAAATATGACTTGACAGAAAATCGTGACGTAATCAAATATCAACAGAAGAAAATAAAAAGTGCAAAGGATGCCATTATACCAGAACTTTCTATTAAATTGATTAAGGCATTTGTAGAAGCAGAGGATGGCGAATACATCATCGAGGAGAACCATAAAATGTCTCAAACAAATGGACTTCGACTAGCGAGAAGCTTAATAAATGTTGTGAATAAGGAAACATATATCTGGATAACAAACCCTTACCCTCGACCATTAAAAATATTAA